ATGACATGGTCAAAAAAAATGTGTAATTGTGGCCACGAAGTAGTATTTCGTGCGCACGAAGTAGTATTTCGTGGCCACGTTATACTTATAGCGTTGCCGCGAAATACTACTTCGTGCGCACGAAATACTACTTTGTGGCCACGCAATAAGTTTAACGTGCGCACGAAATACTATTTCGTGGCAACGCAATAAGTTTAACGTGCGCACGAAATACTTATTAATAATATCAATAAATCCGCCCCTGTTTTCAGGCTTATGTTAACTGTAATGACTTATCTTGGACAGGCTGCTATGTAAACGGGCCTTTAGTCCTTCGTTTAGCTATGCTGCGGTTGTTTACACTACGCCGTTTCCACCTAAAATAGCGTCTTAGCAACAAATGTCACGTGACTGGCGGAGACCGACTGGGTAAGCAAATCGAGCGCGCCTTAGACCTTAGAGAAGGCGCGCTCGATTTGCTTACCCAGTTGTCCAGGAATGATATTAATATTATTAATAAGTATTTCGTGCGCACGTTAAACTTATTGCGTGGCCACGAAATAGTATTTCGTGCGCACGATAAACTTATTGCGTGGCCACGAAGTAGTATTTCGTGCGCACGATAAACTTATTGCGTGGCCACGAAGTAGTATTTCGTGCGCACGTTATACTTATTGCGTGGCCACGAAATACTACTTTGTGCGCACGAAATACTACTTCGTGGCCACAGTAAAAAAATTTTTTTGACCATGTCATCAGAGGGGCTCCGTAGGGATCGAGCGTTTTCTATTGCAGCTCCAAAACTTTGGAATGGATTGCCGCTGCACATTAGACAGGCCACCTCTCTGTCTCATTTTAAAACTCTTCTTAAAACCCACCTCTTTTCTTTGGCTTTTAACACCATGTAGAGTATTGATTTTATGTACACATGTTGATTTTATGTACACATGTTGATTTTATGTATACACATGCATATTTTTATCCTGTGCGGGCAGTGCTTTTATTTTATTTTATTTTATTACTTTTATTTATTTTAGTTATTTTATCTTTTTGTGCAGCACTTTGGAAACCTTGTGTTTATTTAAACCGTGCTATATAAATAAAGTGGATTGGATTGGATTGGATATTTTCAATCTGTGCAACCATTTAACCTTTTGTCTTCTATCTGTCCATCTGTCCCCTTTTCAACCTCCAATCTTTTGCCCCCTGTCCATTTGGGCATCCTTTTGTTCCTTAACTATCTATTATCCATCGTTTTGTTCAATATCCATCCAGTCATCTGTCTTTGTCCAAGTTTTTTCCATCCATCATCCATCCTTGAACACATTTGTTTTTCGGAGAAACACGTTTGAACTGATCTTATTGCTTTAGATTTTTGATTTTAGAGCAGAAAAGCCACACATTTTTATACCTCTGTAAAATTATATAACATATATCAAAAGAAAAGTTTTTACATTTAAATTTAACATGTTTTTTGTAATGTTTTTATGATCCACGATCCCGGATGTAACATGCTTCCACCCGCATCTTTAAGAACACAGATGTTCTCAGATGTCTGTTTGAATCAAATAGCTGTTAATAAAAGTTTAGTACATCTTCTCCTACAGATTATTCAGATTTACAATAACTGAATTTCAAACCTCAGTAACTCCTATGCAAAGGTTTTAAATGTAAAATCATTTTTGGTTAGCTGCAGATGAACATTTGCTTTTACACACAGCCTTCCTCTGTCTGGTGATCTGAAGCTGGTTATTGAACATCACATTTCGAGATAAACAAAATGCTAAGGATGAGCTCATCTGAGCTAATTGTAATCTAGATAGTCTGTTTCCTCTATTACTTCTTGTTTTTGTGTTACGTTTTCTTTTAAAAATAAAACTAGTAAAGTAAGCCATAGCGCGTGACAAAGCCCAATGTTTATTTCTAAGAGTCTTCTGTCTGCAGCCTCAGCCATAATGAGGTGGGTGCATAGCTTGATGATAACGACTTTATGATGTCAAATATGCTCAATTCAGCAACATCAGACCATGATTAGCTACATCTTTTCCTACAGTTCTGGAGTTGGGATTTTATTTTAGAAAATAAGCATCCCAACACATTTTTTTCTGCAGGAAATCTTCAAATAATCCGCTCTGTTTAGTTTATTTGGAACATCTTCAGTCGAAAAAGGTTTGCTCTGAGTGAAGAATGTTTTGAAGCCATAAGCTTTTGGCCTTCCATCTCAGGCAGCAGCAGAGGTTTGGCAGCTGTGAAGAAAGACACCATTCTTTTATGGAGAGAAATGAGGAAACTAATAGGGCTTGGAGAGGAAGGAAGTCAGCCTGGCAGCTTTGTGTTCTGTCAGGAGGAAAGGAGGGTTGTATGACTGGAAGCAAAGAGCTCACACAGATGGAGGCCGAAAGTGACACAGGAACGAGTATAAATACCTACATCTGGTACATCTAGAGGATATGATCTGATTACATAAAAAATACTAAATAGATCCACCAACTGTGCTTCTCCTTAGAAGTAAACTAACAAAAACATCACTGCTGGACAATAATGGACAATAAAGGACAAACGTCCTCTGATTAACGTCTCATTACCCATAGATCCAACTGTTTTTTTTTCTCAATTTATATAAAAATTCGTTTCGCTTTAACTCTGAGCTGACTTTCAAGCTGTTTTATTCTATTTACTCCTCAAACCAGACATTGATTTATGATATGTTCCTTTTTTTATCTTTAGGAAGTTAAATCATTTCACCACTTTAACTCAGAAAGTAAACATACGGGTTTATGGCTGACCAGCATGTCGAGGTGTTAAGGAAGCTCGTTTTTTTTCATAGAGGCTGTTATCTCTGATGTGTTCTTGGTTTTGGATTCTCTGGTCGCCATTTGGACATTCCTCTTTGGTTTTTCTTTTAGGGTTTTAGATCAGATGAGTTTGCTGGGCTAATCCATCAGAGTGATACCAATTTTAATAAGTCCTGCTAGAAGTTTAACACCATCCACATAAAGAAACTCAACAAAGGATAGCATAGACACCATCCGATGGAATGGCTCCCCAGATCATGTTCTGTTCTGCAATGTTTCCTTCCACTCAACTTTCTAGGATAAGGTATTCTGTGAAGAAGCAGCTTATTTAGCAGTGACCTTTACTGGTTTCAGCAGCTGTCCATCTGGTTGCGTAGGAGAGTTATAACTTTACATCAAAATGCCTGTTCTAGTTGGGAAGTTTTGAGTTTTAATAAGCTTAAAGGACAAATCACCAGCTTTAAAATATATACCGGTAAATAGCATAAATAGAATGGAAGATGTTCATCTTTTTATTTTGAAAGTTGTCTGATTTTGTAGGTTTTTTTTGTTCTTTTTGGTAATGTGTAATAAATCGGCTTATAGGTGTCAAATAAAAAGAATAAGAAAAGATGCAGTTTTATAGCTTTATATGCAGTTTTATAAAATCTTTTATGACTCTGGTGGCCTCAGCCCTCCTCTACGCTGTCGTCTGCTGGGCCCCTGGCAGCTCAGAGCGGGACAGAAAGAGACTGAATAAGTTGGTGAGGAAGGCCACTTCTGTCCTGGGCTGCCCTCTGGACTCAGTGGAGGAAGTGGCTGAGAGGAGGATGCTGTCCAAACTCACATCCATCATGGACAACACCCCTCACCCCTGCACCAGACTGTAGAGGAGCTGAGCAGCTCCTTTAGTCAGAGACTTAGACACCCTGTCTGTAAGAAGGAGCGCTACCGCAGGTCATTCATTCCTGCTGCCACTAGACTCTATAATAATGCAATATAACCACAATAACTCCTGTAAAAACCACTGTGCAGCTATATTATAGTTTTTTATTTATTGGCTGTGCAATATGCTGAATGTGCAATATTTCTCCCCCTGTATATAAGCCATCCGGATTGTACATATTTTTATTTCTTATTTTTTTATTATTTTTATTTTGTTTTTCATTGTGTACGATACATGTAAACTTGCACCTTAATCCTGTTTATCTTGATATACTGTATATACCTGGATATACTGTATATATATTGCTTATTCTTAATGCACCTTTTTCCTCCGTTTTCACCTTCTGTAACTTCTATGCCAATATGTGACGAGTGAATTTCTCCGCTGTGAGATCAATAAAGCTCATCTAATCTAATCTTATCTAAGCTGAACGAACCACATTTTTGCTTAAAGTTAAAGAACGTATTAAAACAGTTGCAATTTATCCACAGTTTTTTTTTTCATAGAGGCTGTTATCTCTGATGTGTTCTTGGTTCAACAAAGGATAGCATAGACACCATCAGATGAAATTGCTCCCCAGATAATGATCTGTTCTGCAATGTTTCCTTCCACTCAACTTTCTAGGATAAGGTATTCTGTGAAGAAGCAGCTTATTTAGCAGTGACTTTTACTGGTTTCAGCAGTTGAGTTATAACTTTACATCTCTGCATTAAGAAAAATGCCTGTTCTAGTCGGGACATTTTTTAGTTTTAATAAGCTTAAAGGATAAATCACCAGCTTTAAAATATATAAATAGCATAAATAGAATGGAAGATGTTCATCTTTTTATGTTGAAACTTGTCTGATTTTGTAGTTTTTTTGTGCTTTTGGCAATGTGTAATAAATCGGCTTATAGGTGTCGAATAAAAAGAATAAGAAAAGATGCAGTTTTATAGCTGAACCAAACACATTTTTGCTTAAAGTTAAAGAACGTATTAAAACAGTTGCAATTTATCCACAGTTTCATGTTGCTTTGTCTGTTTTTTTTTTTTTTTTTTTTTTTGGAATAAAACACAAAATTTCCATAGATGTTTTATCCGTTGTTTGGTGTTTAAACATAGTCATAAATATGTTATTAAAAAATAAATGTTATTTTTTTTTGTGTAGGGATTGTTTTTACTGTATTTGTTTCTTTATCTATCTTTGTTGGATAATTATATATTTTTTGTATTTACAAACTATATCTTTAAAAGTAAAACTTAATAAAAAGGCAGTGATTAAAAAAATAAATAAATGTTATGCTTTCTTGCTATATTTTCCAGGTTTGAGAAGGGGAGGATCTACAGCTACATCGGAGAGGTGGTGGTGTCGGTCAACCCGTACCGTGCCATGAACATTTACGGCCGAGACACCATAGAGCAGTACAAAGGCCGTGAGCTGTACGAGAGGCCGCCGCACCTCTTCGCCATCGCAGATGCTGCTTATAAAGCCATGAAGAGGAGAAACAAAGACACTTGTATTGTCATCTCAGGTGACACAAGAAGCACACAACGCTTTCTTGACATTGCATGTTCAAAAGACTATAAATATTTAAGTTTGCTTTGGTTCGGACTGTTTTTATTTCATAAATTTTTACTAGAAAAAATGAAAAACCTATTATTTCCAAAACAATAGTAGGGGGGGATAAAGCTCCCCTCTGTGGTCAAAAAAAGGAATTGAGTCTCTCTAAATACTGGCTTTACATCATGCAATAAAGATAACTTGCAGAACATGTATGATGTATCAACAATTGATATATTGAATGATTAGAAAAGAAAACTAAAAGCAATAAACAGATTTATGTTTATAATTTGAACTTTGAACATTTAGAGCTGCTTACTTTGCAAATCATGCAAACCACTGCAGAGATACGCCAAGATACTTTATAATTCTTTTTCTTTCTCTTCTTTTATCGCAGGGGAAAGCGGTGCTGGAAAAACCGAGGCCAGCAAGTACATAATGCAATACATAGCTGCTATTACCAACCCTAATCAGAGGGCAGAGGTTGAAAGGTGAGCTAAGGTTTGGCAGTCAAAGAGCAAATATTGTTAGACTGGGAGGATGTGTGGGCCTTGTTTTCTGGGATTGCTGTAATAAAACCACAGCATATTAACCTGTATTATTTACTGTTTGGAGTATTTATGCTTCTGGTGCCTGGATTCCACCTGCCGAAGCCAGTCAGGCATGTTATGCAGTAATTACCTTGTTTTCACTGAGTCATTGTCATTTTCCTTGAATGTTCATCACCTGTGATCTAACACCCTTACATCATGGTGAGATTAAGTTAAAGCTCAGCAAGTGGTGGTCATTGGCTCAGGTATCCCAGCAGCTGCTGTGTGTCTTCATAGGACAGAAACATGTTATTGCACCAGAGTACAGGACATTTTAATTATACCTTAGGGTTGTTATCCACCTGGCCAGATATAAAGAAGACACCATAATGAGAGTGCCTGTCTTTAAAGCAAACAAAGTGCAGGTTATATAAAGATTATATGTTCATCACGGAGATCGATGAAAGATAAACCTCACAGATTACATATAAAGTGCTGATAATATACACTGATCTAGCAGCACTGTGAGCCATCAGCTTGGACTCCCATAAACCTCTGAAGGTCTTTGCTGATTAAAGAGTTTGGACCACATGGTTCAGTTACAGTCTATATCAGGAGTTGGCAACCAAGACTGATCAAAGAGCCATATTGCACCAAACAAACTAAAAATAAATCTATCTGGAGCTGCAAAAATGTAAAAGTCTTATATGTGTCTCGAATGGCAACAAAGGGTCTAACTGCATTATCCCACTAAAGAAAAGGACTATGTGGGCTTAACTATATAATAAGAATTCATGAATAACTGTTTATCCTGGAGCAAATGTCACATAGTAGCTTCACCGCCATTCACCACGCGGTTTAAGTTTTGTTGCATGGATGAAATTATAGAAACACGATAAAGGAATCTTTCTATGGTGGACGTGTTTCTGTTAGGAGGAGCTGATTGAGTCATGAGGAACCAAGCAGGAGCTGACATCCATCAGAGCAGAGCACTCTAACCCTGAAATCCCACATCCTCCGTCACGTATATTTTTAGGATTTGGGGAAAAAATGGAAGAAAGTTCCCATCGATGCATCAGAGCGCTACCTGTTTGATCTGTGGACGTTTTTCCATCTTTGCAAAAAAAACTATAGTAGCAATAGTGGAGTTTGGAGATGACATCCCCTTCTTAAATCTATCTTTGCTCTCCTCTAATTTATCCAGAAGTTCTGCAATCGCACTTTTTCTCTCCCTTCCCAGCTTGGTGGTGGCATGCCTTTCCTGGAAATGACTTTCCAAGTTTTTCTTTTTATTGTTTGACAACCTTTCATTACAAAGCAAACATGCAAAATGAAAGCAAATGATTCGCTCCATTCTCCATTCTCTATTCATTCTTTTCTCATCGGCTATCTTTCTTTTTCCCTTTGGGATCCATGATCCGAGACACACCCGCCGCTTTGTTTGCCCGGCACCGCGACACGTTTGTTGCAAGTTATGACCACTGATCTCTATGGCTATGATGCAAATTATTGTTTAAATATATTTATTATACAAATGTTTGCAGCATTGACCTCCTGCACACCATATTAAAACAAACAAACAAAAAACCAAACGTTTTTTATTATTATTATTTAAAGAGCTGCATGCGGCTCCGGAGCCCTGGGTTTCCTACCCCTGGTCTATATGATTTACTAATCTTTTGTTTGCCTGTCACCATGCTGCTACTGGATCAATGCAGCATTTTCTGCAGATAACATTTTCTAGATAAAAACTGTGGACTGAAAACACCCAACAGTAGCTGCAGCTCTGGAGATGCTCTTATTGACTGTCACATTTTGGCTCAGTTGTGTAGTCTGATACATAGGTACACGCTATATAATTGATCTCTTGGGTTTGCATTTATAACATGCCAAAACAAGCAAAGATATGCATCAAGCCCTAAGATGTGTATGACGTCCATTTTTGGAAAGCATGATAAACTCTCCCACACCAACTTGTCTTTATTGTCAAAGTAATTTTTCTTGTGAATGACGCTGAGCTTAGTGTCGACCTCCAGCAGACTGACCCTCCAGACTCTGTTGCTGGAACGGCAACAAATGAGCCCTCCTCCATTTGGCTTGTTGGAAATGGGGTGCTGATGAGGCATAAATCCCAATAGTATTCCAAAGGGGAAAACAGCCACAACTACAAATATAATCCTTTTCATAAAAGTGTTAAAGATGTTTCTGATGGTCGGGTTTTCCTCATGGAAATGAGTATCAGTCACATCCTAGCTTTCAAGGCTGCTGCAGTGATTGGCGCTCAAACTGTAAAGCCAGAGGCATAACACACATCTAAAGCAAGAAAAAAAAAAGATTAAATAAAATGTTAAAATGTTATTATGTTTGCCTAATAGAAGCAGTTAATTCATTTTTTTTAAGTAAGAAAACTACGAATCAAAATGAGTGGAACAGAAAAAAACAAATTTCTACAATGCCCTTAAAAAAAAGTAAGTAATAAAATTATATAGTTTGTCCACCGAAAAAAATAAATAAAGCTAGTGTTAGCATAATTTATTGAAAATGTAAGTAAATTTTGAGATTTTCCCAAAACTTTGATTTAAAGTTTAGGGCATATTTCTGCTTTTATTTGTTTGTTTATAAGTAAGATTTAATTATATATTATACATACTTGGCCAGTTTTTTTAGGCCTCCGCAGCATTACCAGGAAGTTCAAGTTGTATGGAAACAAGTTGTATGTAAATAAAGGAGCAGGGGTGGAGCTATATGGTTGTCTTTTAAAATAGTGATTATTATCATAATTTCTATTACACTGCTACTGGAATCGCATTGATTAAAGTCTCCATTGCTCTCAGACATGAATACTTTGTTCTGCCTTAATGCAAATGTACGGTAATGGTTGCACCTTTAGCAGGAAGCTAACTAAGCTAAAGCCATTTAATTTCTTTATGCTGCCTCGTTGTTTACCTTTCAAGTCAAAATGTTAACTTACTCCACTCACTAACGGGTGTTATGATAAAGACATAATCTGTGTTCCTCTCTTCTCAAATGTACAAATGTCAGTTGCTCATTTTGGAGTGTGGATGACGATTCATGATCTTTATTTGGGGTTTTAGGCTATTTATAATCTATTGTGTGTAATTATTTTCTTTTACCCATAGGTTGTCTAGATTATCCCTTAAAAGGTTGAATATCAATGCAGTTTTTATGCATATCGGATTGATTGCTTTGTTTTTTTTCCTTCTTTTTTAGCACTGTAGGTGATTAAAATATATGCATAATGAATGTTGTTGCACAGTGTGTGGGTTTGGGGACGGTTTATTATGTCTCCATTCTGACAGAACAGGGAAGGTTTGAATCATTGTTTTTGCTTTATGTGAATAATTGTTTAAATTCAATGCCTTCCTGTTTCACAGAGTAAAAAACATGCTGCTGAAATCCAACTGTGTCCTGGAGGCCTTTGGAAATGCCAAAACAAACCGCAATGACAACTCCAGTCGCTTCGGCAAATACATGGACATCAACTTTGACTTTAAAGGAGATCCCATTGGGGGGCACATCAACAACTACCTGCTGGAGAAGGTGAGGTGGGAGGATATCAAAATGAGGAATAAGCATGCTTGTGTACTAGCAAATTAAGAAATTCTGTGCTCATTTTCTCAACTTTACTGTAAGAAACCTTTAGTGTCTATGTGACTTTATGAGATCCCTTCTGCAGGACATGTTTGGTGTGTTTCAGCTTTGCCAATCTTGTGGCAGAAATTTGTGTGATTTTTAAAGAAGGCAATACGAATAAATTCAATTTAAGTCTGAGCTCTGACATAACTATTCTAATACATGTTGTTATTCAGTAGATATTAGCTCTGGTTGCCTGTTTAGGGTCTTAACCTTGAAGGAAGGTGAATCTTCCCCTCAGTTTTAATTCTTATTCTCTTTAGTGCTTTTTTTTTCCACAGCTGCCCTCTAATTATCTACCTGCCATGTTTCCCTCTGGGCATAATGTGTTGAGGGTGTTATTTTTCCCATCTAATTAAGTGTTTTGCATATGGGCATAATATTTTATACATGAAATATTTACAAAGCAGCATCTTCCACATTGTTTCCTTATTTTGGTTTGTGGTAGAGATCTTTGTGTACACCTGCATACCAGTTGCCTGTGTTTACAAAGTGTGTAACATCTAAAAGTTATTGAGTACATTTTTTTTTCCTTTTTTTGGTCTGATAAACAGCAAATAAACAATAGTATATTTCCTACCACACATTTTAAAGTGGTTTTATGTCGATCTGGGCGACTCAATTATTAACTTAGAAAAGAAAAACCCATAAATGTTTTACTTCTTCATGTTGTGACTTTACCAAACTGTTTTTCTTGCTCCATTCTCTCCAAACAGTCCAGAGTCATTTTCCAGCAGGACGGGGAGCGGAGCTTTCACTCATTCTACCAGGTAATGTTATAGGCTCACTTGCATGTATTTGCATGAACTCTGTGTTCTATATGTCTCAATCACTTAAGGGAGGCGTTATAGAGATTGATTACCACAGGTAGGAAAGTTTTTTTTTGCTCCTTGCATATGTTAAACTGGTCAAAAACCAGTCTTGTTTCTAATATTACACCACTTCAATTAGGGATGGGCAATTAATTGCATTTGCAATTTAATTGTCATTTAAGAAAATGCGATTTTCAAAACACAGAGGCAATCAATTCTGGTGACGTTACATTTCAAAAGACTATGAGACAAGTTTTTTTCTTACTTCATCCCTTTAATTAGCGTTAATTTGTTTAAAGTGGGTTTGCTTCCACGAGCAAGGAAGTAAACGTCCTTGTAGATCTACAGTATGCACGCAAGTAGAAGGGAGCACTTTTCTAAACAAGGGTTCCTGCAACAATGGACTCTTGATTAACAAGCTTTAAAGGGAATGAAAAAACTGAAACCCTGAAGTAAAAAATCTATATGCTTTGGATTAATGCGTAATCGAAATAAAATTGCAATATTGGTTGAAAATAATCCCGATTTTGATTTTTGGCAAAATCGTTCAGCCCTAACTACAAAATATGTAGGGATAGCTTGTCAGGGCCATTCTTACTGTGAATTATACTCTAATATGCAACATTAGTCAATAAGTTAACCCTTTGAGAATTGCTGTAGTATTCCCAATGATGCGTTATTAATGAGACCTTTCAGCTTCACTTTGTCTCTAATATTAGAAAAGTCCTGTTATGCAATAATAAAACCAACAAACAGTTTAAGTTTTGTGACAAAATTCTGCTTTCCCTCCTAGCTGCTGAAAGGAGCTCCAGATTCCCTCCTGCGCTCGCTACACATTAAAAAAGACCCGACAGCCTACAACTACATCAAAGTTGGAGGCCAGATCAAGGTAACTGATCTCAAGCTTATTCACATGTGCACAGTCTGAAGGTTAGCATGAATCCATTTGTATTTGTGACCTGCAGAACAGGAAAAGTAAATATTAGAGTAATAACAGGTCTGTTTGTTTTTCTTGTTGTTAAATATTTAAGCAGAGAAAACCTAAATTTTGTTTTCAGGAATAGATAGTTGAGGCCTGATCTTCTTAAGGATCTAGACTCCTTTAGCTCTGTGCTGGGTCTCTGTTACTGAATGAGCTTAATGATTTTTAACAACATGGGAATTAAAACACCTGACGGCAACCAATTAGCTGATGGCATGCATCCCAGCACAACCACACCGCAGAGCTGTTGCTTCCTCCCTAAGAGTCTAAGCAACTCATCTTTAAAGAGCCAGGCATCTCACTTCAACACAAATCTTTAATTTAATTACAAAAAAAACTAGAAAACCAGCTAACCAAAAAGTTCAGATGGAAAATATTGCAAACAGATGCCTCACTACCCAGGTTTGTGGAAATAACTGTTGAAAAGAGTGCATTTTGCGTTTTTTTGTTCTTTGTGCGTTCATAAGTGAATCATTGTGTCTGAAAAGCATGTGCTGTTTCTTGTTGCAGTCTGGCATCAATGATAGTGCCGAGTTCAAAGGAGTAGCAGATGCCATGAAAGTGATTGGCTTCACAGGCGATGAGATTCAGACTGTTTACAAGATCCTGGCCACCATTCTGCATCTGGTAATGAACACAGAACCTGAACCCTGTCTGTTTTTTTGTTGTTGTTTTTTTTACATTTGTTGAAAGAAAATCAGGATTTTTCCAACATACTGAATGTTTGTTAGTTTTTCCAGAGTTTTTTTTAATTCTCCTTAAAGGCTAAATGTTGTTCTTTCCTTTTCATAAAAGTCAGACTTTGGCATTATAATTTTGTAGGCTTTAATATCTTAAATTACCTACTTAAATATGACTAAAAGTACCAACAGAATAAAGAGCCCTTTATCTAAGTTATTCTTTCTTCTTAACCTTTGAACACCTTTTAATTCAATGATTACAAGCAAATAAATAACCCATAAAATTAATGCAGTTTTTACTATTAGCTGTAAAATAATTTAATGTAATAAAGTTATCTGTAAAGTTTTAAACTGAAAAGCTGTAATGGGAGGTTTTAACAATGTATGCATAGATTTAAATGAGTAAAACATTTATCTGGAAAATGTAACATTTTATGTAGTTTGTAATGCAGTCAATTATATGGAAAAACTGTGTTTTATTGCCAGTTGATTAAAATAATTATTACTGTAATGGAGTCATTTGTGAGGTCATCAAAAGTTTTGTTTTAAATATTAAAGTAACACTGACTGATTTAATCTAAAAGGGGGGGAATGCAGCCATGTTTTTTAATAATAACTCCATGGCTCTTCAATCTGCTGATCTAAATTGTCTGCTAGCAGATTCCTAAAAAACCAAGGGAGACTTTTTAGGACAGTGAAGTGTAACTAGGGGCTTAACCTGGAAGTTACAAGTCATGCGCCCTCTGGTGGTCAAAAGTCTTCTTTTAAAAAAATTAGCTGCTCAAAGGGAGATATTTGTTCACTGTTAAAGCTTCTGACTTGTGGAAATTGAGATAGGGAAGAATATGGATTTTCTATTGTTAGAAGTTTTTCCATGATGGGAGTAAAACCTTTAAAAAAAAGGTTCCTGCATTGTCAGCCAGCTACCCACTAACTCAGGGTTTTTTTTAAAGGTATTTTGCTTTGGTTATAATGTAAAGTAATTTTATCTAAGAATTACTGGTGAAATTTGGGTATTTTACTCAAACACTCACATATCACTGCCTCAAACATTTATTGTGGCAATGGTAGCCACTGTGTGTCATAAACCCTTGACAACGCAGATGTAATCATGTCATTCAAAGTGAAGTGAAAACAGAAAGCGTTCATCACAGCTTTGAAAGCTGCTAAACCCACATAACCATATAATTCTCTACCAACAAGATTATGTGTTGACAGGATCTACCATTATACTTTCTGTGATAACGAGCAACACTAATTTAAAATTAATGGAAAGTATAGTTCACTTACCTGTCAAGGAGAAACATGGCGTCCCTTTTTAAAATCTTTCTCTGCTTCTTCCACCTGGAGAAGGCTTGTTATTTTTTTTCCCCTTAAATGTCTCTGGTTTTATAGTCTTTAAATTAAATTTTTCGGTTTCTTGAGGATGGCGAAACCGTTTTCTGCCCTGCTGCTGCATACAGGGGCGGATTTAGGAAATTTGGGGCCCTAGGCAAAGACATGCAGGGGGCCCTCTGAATTGAGAAGACAACACATAAAACAGACCCATTATACAGGTACAAAATTTTTTATAGAATAGACATCCATTATTTGACATCCAGGACATCCATTAACTTTGAGTCCTAGGCAACTGCCTATTATTGCCTAAAGGTAATATTAGGCTGCATATGATGTTCCTGCATTGTGCTGCATTAGTGCAAACTTTCCTGTGTTGGGTTAGCGTCTTTCAATCACACTGATCTGCCAACAAGGGAAAATGTTATTTCTGCAATATTTTATTCCTCGCTGGTAAACTTTCAAGAATACAGACTGTGATTTTGTTTCCCAATGGAGTGACCAGCCTAATGTATGAATTAATATAAAATTCTTTGCTTATGAAAATAAATCTGATTATTGATAGAGGCAATAAAACACCAATAATAACACTTACGTAACCAAACCAAAAGCAGCCTTTATCATTGCACACAACACAACTCTTTGGACCCAAAACCCGAGATCCTTTTTGCCTCAAATAAATATGCTAAGAAAAAACTGTTGCAGTTTACTCCCTTTACACAAGTAAGAAAAAAAGGTTAATATTTAATTTTTCCCTTTGGGGCAAGAAAGCAGATAATTTTTAGTGCAAAGACAGACTTAGCGTAGCAAGATTTGTGTTACATTTAGCACCTAGCATGAGCAGATGCTTATTATGTGTTATTTTTATTTTAAATATAAATAAATGTCCTCTGTTTTGTCCTGCAGGGAAACCTAAAATTTGGAATGGACGGTGACGTTACCCTGATAGAGAACACAAAGCTTGTGTCTGTTATCAGAGAGCTTCTTTCCACCAAGGAGGAAAACGTGGAGAAGGCCCTGCTGTACCGCACAGTGGCCACAGGTCGAGACGTCATTGAAAAACAGCACACCACAAAGGAGGCCAGTTATGGGCGAGACGCTCTAGCAAAGGTCATTTCTGCGCACCAGTTATCGTCACCCTTTTGTGTTTTTTGTGTCAGGACTAAAGAGATTAAATCCGCTGCAGTCTACATGTGCCTGCAGGGTTATGAGATTTCACTTTCGTGGTTTCACAGTAACATGAGTCACAACGTTTTAACGCCACAGAGAGGCTGAATATTGTGGAGGATGCAGTCAAGACCAGCACAATAAGCCTGCAAACAACAGACTGACTCACTGTTATTATGACATTTAGAGTCCTGGTTATTCAGCTTGTTACTGCTGAGCGTTTGTGCTCTGAGATATTCTCTGCACAAACGAGCATAACACATGCTTATTATTTTGTCTTCCTCAGGCAATGTATGAGCGCTTGTTCTGCTGGATCGTTGGACGCATCAATGACATCATTGAGGTGAAAAATTATGATGCCAACGTCCACGGGAAGAACACTGTCATCGGCGTGTTGGACATCTATGGGTTTGAGATTTTTCAGAATAACAGGTGAAGTTAAAGAAGAAGTTTAGAAAATATTTCCATTTGTATCATCATAGCACTGTTTTACAGTTCATTAATTTATTTTTTTGTTTGTTTTTTTTATTTGTAGCTTTGAGCAGTTTTGCATCAACTACTGTAATGAAAAGCTGCAGCAGCTCTTTATTCAGCTGGTCCTGAAGCAGGAACAGGAGGAGTATCAGAGAGAAGGCATCCCCTGGAAACATGTAGGATATTTTAACATTTGTAATCATACAACTGAAACTAATCTTCCAATTAGTGATTGAGTTTCATCTGCACCACTCTCTGGCTTTTTTTTTTTTTTTTAAACACCACCATGTTATTAATAGATTTTTAAAACTGAAGTGCAAAATAGAACTTAAATAGAAGGACTTTTTTTCTTTTGTTTTGTTTAAAAAAAAAGAAACACATTTTTTGGACGTAAACAGGAAAGCCCTAGAAGTTGGCAATCCAACATGAAAAGAAAATGGCAACCACCAAACAAACTTCTGATTCCAAAATGGCTCCTGCATGTTTAAAACACAGTGATACACTTATTAATAAAAATATTCAATTTACACCTCTGGTAGTTGTGAAATAAATTACAGCATTTATGTATGAGCATGTCCTTAAAACTGATTTAGGTTGAGTTGAATATTATTCTTTGATTCTTTAAGGAAGCATTACAGAGTTTTCTTATGATAGTGCCACCGGTGGCCAAAATCCAAAACTGCAACACTACTCTGCTCGTTTTCCTAGCTTGCACTCATTTGTGACAATTTTACTTTACTTTTTTCACCTTGCGTGAATTTGCAAATGGTGTCTGATTTAAGCTGGATGCTGGTCCCTTCTGAGGATCAACGAAATCTATCATAAATATGACGCTTTGATTGTTTGCTAAATTTGACTAATTTAACATAGAGGTGCTTGATGTCACCTCGGCAGAACAGCATGAGAACTTCCCACTGAAGTACATTCAAGGAAAATAGATGCTGGCTGAAATCGGAGTGCCTTGATTGGATCAACTGTAGATCACGCAGCTTGAAAATCCAATATCCAACTTCTAACTTCACAGCGGTCATAATCGTCCTACTTTAAGTTAAAGAAGAAACTCTTGGTAGAATTGTGTATTACAAAAAATATATTTGGGTCTAACTCAAATATTCTGACTTACTTAAAAAAAAATGCGTGGTTAATTGTAAAAATGTATTCACATTTGTGCAAGTCTTTTTCACTGCGGGACGCCATTTTTCCTCGTGCTGAATGAGTTTGCAAAATATTCTGGGAATCCACATCAGCCCCTGACCTAACTCGGTCTGAAGGGATCATTTTAAGGGTTGGAGGGCACTTCCCCCTAGCTCTTATAACTATTGGGACACACTACCCACTACACTACACATGAACGCGCAAAACCGAATGCTAGGGCCCAAACTGAGTGCAAGTGAGAGAAATGGGACTCGACCTTATAGATGCATCTGCACTGAACTATTAAGGTGTCAGTCTGCTCATCAAACCATGTTTCAGTCGTAAAGGTTAAAATAAAAATTTTAAATATGTTTTTCAACAAAAACATGCAAAATGTCTCTTTACATATAGATGTATTTGGCAGCAATATATTTTCATTTGCTTTCGAAATATTTCAGCATAATTTATGTAATCAATGTAGAGGTGGTTAGTATGGCCAAAACCTTTATCATGATATTTTTCTTTATTTTTTTCAGTGGGATAAAGTTTGAAAGATATAAGCAAAATAAAAGCTTCAGAAAAACTGAAAATGCTCAAAGCAGATGTTTGTAAAAACTTGTTAAACCAATTTTATAAATCTGCTCCAATATAACATGTTAGAAATATTTGAGCTTGGAACACCAGCCAGTGAAAATGTTTAATAAAATTATATTGATTTAATTTAATTGTAGATTTATGTCTTTCACACTGACCTGAATCCTATGTCTCATTTTCTCAGATTGATTACTTCAACAACCAGATTATTGTTGACTTGGTGGAGCAGCAGCATAAAGGCATCTTCTCTGTTCTGGATGAAGCCTGTATGAATGTTGGCAAAGTCACCGATGAGGTTTTCCTGCAGGGACTCAACGTCAAGCTGGCAAAGCACGCTCACTTTACAAGCCGCAAGGTAGGAGGACTGACCTTCAGATCTTAGATGATTAAAGTTGAGTAATGCCCAAGATGCAATGCCTTCTTTTAGTGTTGTGTCTACAACTGATCTGGGATCTGGACCTTACATTCTTTCCTCCCATTTACTGATCCCATGCAGTTTTTCTCAATATTACAAAGGTTACTCTTGTCTAAAATCTAATGAATATCCCTATCAAAGACATGTGTGAACAGTGGGGAATTTTAAGACCCTTAAAGTTATCCTAAAGCAGAATTCACAGTCTTAATGCAGCTGTAGTAACATGAGAACAGCAGAGGGTGGTTTTCTCCATGCATTAAGTGGCTCTTATCGCTGCAAGCAGAGAATATGATCCAATAAGCAGGAATATCCAATGTCTAATTCACTCTAATGGTCTGTTCAGACTCAACAAAGATAAGCCATTTAAATGTATTGTCGTCCATGTTTAAGGAGCAGGTGGCTTGGTTATGGTGTCTCTTCCCTCTGATTCAGGTTGACAACTTGTTAGGTCTTTTCAGGGGCAGATGTTAAAAGATTTCAAGTTACAGATGTTTATATGACTGAGAAGCTGTTGCAGTCTACTTTTTGAACACCAGGGGGCAACAACTGTCAGAGAAAATGTTTATGGGAGTCTGACTCAACACTTTGCACAAGTGATGTCACTGAGAGCCTATAGGAGAGTGTGGAAGAGACAGATTTATGAGGAGAGTCGAACAGATGGTTTTAAGATGAGGGAAAGAGAAAGTCAAGAATATGCTGATGCAGTGTCGATAGGATGTCTGTGTTAGAGGGAAGCTGTGAACTAAATGGTAAATCAACAGGCTACAAAGTGAGGCTGTTTCAAAGTCTAAATGTTGCCCTACGATCCAAAAAAACACCCGGCAGGCAGTGATCCCTGCAGAAACTGCTACCCATCACAGTAAGGTGTAAAAATACTGCGTGATGAGATGGAAGCTGTGAATATAGAAAGGATGAGGTAACTATTGTACTGCATGGTGTATTGATCGGCGTTCCTTTTCTTCTTTCATCTGAGTCGATATGCTCCTCATCATCGCTCTTCTTCTGCTGCACTCTGACCTCCTCCTCTAGCAGGACTTTCAGACACATCAAGGGTTTCAGTACACTCTTATCCTGCTGGTGCTTCCTGGAACTAATATCTGCATGAATCAATATCGTCTGGAAACTTTTATATTTCCTGTACTGTTTGGAGTCTGACTGCTGTTTGTTTGAACTGAGGAAGCTGTTTGTCTTGTTCTCTGCTTCACTTTAGATCTAAAAAAAAACTCTAAACAGTTAACGGTCTAATGCTGAGTGTTTGTGCAAACAGATCTTTGGCTTAATATTTAATTTAATTTAACTAGAGGATTTAAAACATTTATATTCACGGGTATCGATGATTTCATTTATTGCCAAAAGAAACCAGCGTGCTCCAGTGTCAAGCAATAATTACCCACATAAACCTAATAATGGATAATGCTGCCCTTGGCAGAAACTGCGGCCATCTAACATTTATGAAAATCAATAATGTCAGCAGTATTTGCTAGAGAGCAGAATCCATGGATAAATCTATTATAGAAGGTTCTTCGGGTCTTCATGCAGCAAAGCGTCTCTGCGAGTCACACTAACACCATGACTGAATGTTAGAAAATCCTAGAAAGGTTCACCACAGTTTGAAGTTCTTTTTCTTTGTGGATAACTGCTAAAACTGTAGCATCGTCTCTCCTACTGGGTGATCCATAAATCTAGGTGTTTTATCTGCTGTAAAGATTGTTGGATGATCCGCTGCTTTCTGAGATCTTCTACTTTATGTCATCTGACAAAGCCTCCATGTTGGTTTGAATACCTTGTTGCACTTTATTGGGAAACATGGTGCCACCTGCTGGTTACCTTTAGGATTTTCCTTTACAATCGAATCAATGTTTTTCATTCTGTTTCACTGTTATTGTGTTGTTTCTGATAATTTAATAGTGCAGGAAAAGAAATATAATTTTTTTATTTATTTCTTTATTTCAAGGTGTTTAAAGGTAGAGAGGACGATCTTTTATTTCCGAGTGGATCATCTAAATAAGTTGTCCTCCTAATTGTCAATCATTCTGGTGATATGTTTAGGTAATGCTGTCCTATGTGCTCGTCCCGTTAGCTATTTTTTTCTGCACATGCACACTTTCAGCTTTATACTTGTGGTGAGCTACAGTTTCAGACAGTCCTTGAAGCTCACCTTTCTCACTAAAATCCTTTGAAAATGGCAGAAGATCGTAATAGAAAAAGTGTCTGAAGTGTATGAGAAGAAAAGAAAGGCCTTAGAGGCAAAGATATCCCGGAATGCTTTATGCCAGAGGTCATGGATTAGTGGACCGCAGTCCGGATCCGGACTCACCTGCTGTCTAATCCGGACCCAACCTGATTTAAAACATTTATAAATTACTGCCTGTTGTCCAACGAACGTGTCTAACTTCTCTTGCACCGCTTCTCCTATTTAAATGGTAAAGCCCTCCAGAGTGTCCGGGACCAGGTTGCACGTGATACAAATTAGCCAATGAGCTGCGTTCAGTCTGGGTTGCTGCTGCTGCTATTTTCAGACACAGCAGGCAAACCTGTGACACGCCAGGCGGTGGAAAGAAGGACAAGACGAAGAGAAAAAGAGAGCAGAGAAAGTGTGGAATGCTGGAAGAACTGCGGTGAACTGCACATTTTGAGTATGTTTGGCTCAACCTGCTGCTGTGAAGCAGGAATCTCCTGCATGAACATTAAAAAATAAATATGTATCCAGGCTCAAAATGAGCACCTTGATATGTGCTTGAGAATGGCTTTATTGCCATTCAGACCCAGGTTTAAAGCCTTGCAGGGCAGCATAAAGCCCACTGCTCTCATTAAGCCAGAAAAAAAAAAAAACGAGAAAAAACCCCCAAATGGTCAGTTCAGGTGTTTCATATTTATTTATTTGTTTTTTTTTTATTTAAAAAGTCAATGTATAATATGGATGCATAAACACTATATTTTTATTTCAGTGGTAAATGCTGTTTAAAGTAACGGATTATAGATAAAAATGTCTCTGGACCTTTACTGGTTGTTGATTTTCTTTATTCGGACCCAGCTGATTTTTAATTGGTTACCCCTGCTTTAAGCATTATGGGATTTGCTGTCACAGCAGCCCCGACTAATAACAAAGATGGCGTGGGCTCCGTACAGTGACGGAGGAGTTACTTGACCAACGGAGCAAAAAGCAGTGATCATCTGTGCAAACGGTCAGTTAACTGAGTTCACTATAAAGTCCACTATATAAACTCCCCACTCTGTATAGGGATTGAGGGATTTAGGGGTCAGGGCGGACGCTCGGACACAGTAAACTTGTATGAGCGATGAGAACAGCCACTTTTTAAACAGGGCGTGCATGCTCTTGCACATAATTTTTTTTAAGTGGAGAGTCTTTTTTTTTTTTTAAATAGAGTAAATCCTCCACAATACCTTAAAGGGGAACACCATTTTTTTAACAGTTTAGTTTGTGCCTTCAACTCGTTGCCCTAAGGAAGAGGTTACTTGGATATAACCTAACCAGATATCTTCAGAACAGCTCCAAAAGACACAAAACTCATATGGGTGAGTAGAACGTGATGTATAATAACGTAAAATCAAGGGCCAAATGTAAAAAAAAACAGCGTTCCCCTTTAAAGCAATTTTTTTTTTAACAAAACCCTAATATAAAAATTTTTTTCTATTTAAAACTTATAGAAAAGCATTTAATTAAAAAAAGAAAGGAGAGTTTTATGTATTTGTTTTATTTTCTTGTTTTTTTTCATCAATATTTTTATCTTAATCCAAATTAAGATAAGTTTGAATTGAAGAGGATTAAAGCAAAGGAATGCTCCTGCTGCTTTGTTTTATCTATTTCTAATTGAACCCAATGTTTTGAGTGTCTGACAGTTCTTGGAGAAGGTTTGAAAAATCAGATCTTTGAGGAAATGAAATAGACAAAGCCCATCCATACATACCACGAGAGTTTGGTTCCAGGTGTTTACGGATACACACTAATACTAAATCCGAAGCTACAGATATATACCACTACTGAATAATATTGTCATCACCATAGGTTTTGACTCCGACACTCTTGGACATCTAAGGGATACTTGCTGCTCTGAATGTTTACTTCGGTTGTCTGTTGTTCTTTTTGCTCTTATGTTCTCTCTTGTGTTCCTTTCATCTTATACAGATGTGGAAGCAGCATTCTAGGAATTACTCTATAGCTTGTGTTTTGTCTATTTTTACTGTTTTGTTTCATTTTCTCTCTTTTCATGCACTCTTTCCTCTCTTTATTTCTTTCAATCATCTCTTAGTTCCTATCCCCTCTTTCTTTCTCACCTCCCTTTCCGTCTCCATCTCCATTGCATTAGATTCTCCTCCCTAAATCATTTTCAATAAAGTTTTGTATACAAGTACCAAGTGGAACTTTATGGCAATAACCATAATGCTCTGCTTGTGAAAGCAAATCTATTGGGCTATCGGCTAGTTCTGGGACATTGGTTCATAGGAACTATATTGGCAAAACAGGACAACAAAATGAGAAAGAACAAAGGAGATGTGAAGGTTGAGGAAGCAGGAGCAGGAGGTTGTGTTGTGGCAGAAACTAACCTGGGATAAAATATCCAAACCAACAGCAAGAGAGAAAATAAGGTGTACGGCCTGTAGAAAGACTGATAATCACAGTTCTATCTACAGTTAATGGTGTTTAAAACAGACCTTCAGCAGTTTCATAAAGACTCACAGTTATGTTTTTCCAGCCCATAAACTCCATCAGAAACTTGTATCCCAGCAACAGCGGGATGCTTTGTTTTCTTTTCAATAAAAAGTCTTTTGATGCAGCTCTGCCTGCCTTACAGCAAAAACCAGAGAAAAGAAAGTACAGAGTCAGGTATACAGTTTCTGAATGTTGAGGTGAAATGAAAAGCATCTTTAGTTTTGCTTCTTTTACAAATATAATCTGAAAGGGTTTTCTGTACAGTTCT